GCCCATAAAAAATGTCAGCTGTCTGACAAACATTGCAATTTCGAAACTAGAAGTAACACGATTGCTATAAAGCAGACGGTAAAAGAATAAAAAAATAAAAAAAGGTAGAAAGAATTTATAATTAAAATCTATACGTAGTGAATATTTTCTATAGGAAAAATTGTCTTGCTTACCGTTTACCGGACATACTGATGAAAATGATTTGTCGTCTGCTTACCGAGTAATCAAAAAAATTACACGGAACAATTAAATTTCCGAACCCGAATAATTAAATTTCCGAAACAGCAATGCGAAATTTAATATCATCATCGAATAAAAAAGGATAATATATTGTAATCCACATGTTAAATTTTCAAGTGTGCCATTGTAAAAATTGTTCGTAAATTCAAACAATCTGGGTCGATGGCAGATGTGAAAACGCCATTGCGTGCTTATTTACGCCGTTCAGCTGAAAACATTGCTGCAGTGCACGAAATTGTAACCGAAAATCCAGACCCCTCTATTCGTCGTCGCGCGCAGGAACTGAACCTCTCCACAACAACGTTACATCGTTTCCAATTGCACTTTAGGTTGGTTGATTATGTTGATAAAAAAAAATCGCAAAGTGCTCGAAATGCATTTCTGTTTGAACGTCCATTTTCGTAATAGGTTTCGATAGCTTTAACATGTTGTTTGATTGTTAACCTTTCCATGGTTGAAATTGCCAAAAATCTAAAAGAAAACAATCATTAGACGCTTAAACTTTTTTTTCAGAATCTAGTGTGAGGATGGAAATTGCTAGCTTGATTTTCTCAGAATCCTGGGTGAGCAGGAAAAGTTAATAGCTTGGTTTTGTGAGAATCCAGGGGGGGGTGGCTGTATGAAAAGGTGCTAGCATGGTTTTATGGTATTGAGAGTTACAAGGCTGTTTTTCCATCTTTGGACTGTTGGAGCTTGGTCAGAATAGAGATAAGTTGTTAGGCTCTGGTTATCTAGATTATTATTCTGATTGCAGTGACAGAGTGGAATGTTAGCATCTTGATCATGTCATTATTCACGTTACATGAGCTATCCATTTTAGTTGTTGCCGCTGTTGGTAGTCCTCATGTGGTTTCTATTATTTGGTACTGCTCTTTGTGATTCTGTTGTACCAGTCCACAATTTTCAAAGCAGGGTGATTTTCCAAGTCCCCCAAACTTTACTCGCACAAAGCCTTTTTTCACCGTTCAGGAAGAGGATAAAAGAGACATGCAAAATGTTTACCGTTTCCCTATAAGGAAACATTTGGCATTCATTGGCGTCGCAGCAAGTACTGTTTTCGGTTGAAATTTATGAAATCTTTCTCTTAAAACGCTTTGTTTTTTTTTTAAAATAGGTTTCTCAAGTCTATTAACTGTTATCTCTCTTTCCAGTATTGATTGGCGGGGATTTTCTAACCTTCTTTTTGAAGCAATGTGGAATTAAAATTAAGTTTCTGACCATCTGACTTTTATCTTGCTTCAAAGCAAAATTTAAAAAAAAAAACCTCATAATTTTGACCCATATTTGAGTAGATGCTCCTCCATTTATTTTAAACTGTATTTTTATTTCGTCTACCGGCCTGAACATTCGAGAAATCGTATTAAAGAAAATGCGCTCTCCGGCTGGATTCAAACCTGCGTCCCTCTTTGCAGGAGAAACCATCATTTGATCCGGCCTACTTTAACTTGTCACATTCAAAGAGCTTCATAATCAAGCACATAAACACGAAAGGTAATATTAGTCGTTTTCCTATAAGGAAAACCAAGCAGCTAGTATTGTTTTCGATTGAAACTTGATGGGATTTTCCTTTCTAACTTGAAGTGAGGATGAATGTTAACATCTTGATTATGTCATTATTTTCTCTTCTCAGGTCCAGTAGCTGTTATCGCTCTTTCCACTATTGATGGGAGTTTCCTTCCTAACCTTTTATTTGAAGTCGTGTGGAATGTCAACATCTTGATTATGTCATTATTTTCTCTCCGTGTTACACGTGCTATTTTAGTTGAAACTGCTGTTGGTATTGCTCAATTGATATGGTTTCTGTTATTTGGCAAATTTCTTTTGCTTGTGATTCTGTAGCGTCAGTTTATATTGTTCAAAGTAGGATGACCTTTGCCAAAATCCTCAAGCTTTTCTCGTTCAAAGCCTTCTTCACCATTGATCTTAGGAAGCGGTTGTATACAGCTGACAGTTTAAATATTTCTGAACGGGTTTGTCACCATGCTTAGAATATTGCTGCCACATATGGTCCGATGCCCCTGCTATTTACCGTGAGCTCCTATGTCTTTTCTATAAATACTTTCATGGTAGCTAGAGTTTTTGAATTTGACGTCGAGTTCTCATCAATTTACATTTGAGCTGTCGTAAATTATATGCTAACAGTTTCTTCTCTCGCACTTCTTGCTTGTGGAACTCCCTTTCATCTCGTTGCTTTCCAGCCAATTTTAATCTGCAAAAGTTTAAATGCAATGTCAATCTACTGTCTACCTGATTACTCTCTTCTCTTTATCTTCATTATTAATTTTATGTTCTTAATTCTTCCACACGATGTAACCCCCCCTTCTGTTTTAGTAGCATTACTGCCTTGCTTGGGGTGATTCCAAATAATAATAAAAAATAATGACAACTCCTAATTACAGAAATTCATACAGAAATTATCTTTTCTATCATATCTGTTACAAAGTTTATGATTTGATTTGTTTGTTTAACGGCATATCAACACCTTATGGGTCATTTAATGTCGAAATGTAATTTTCTTGGGAGTTTTGAAGTCATAAAAATAGGATATGTTATTTTGCTTTCACAGTTGAGTACATGGTAGATGATACTCAGATTTTGTGCATATGCTTGTGTGGACATGATTACTAGAGGCGGTGATATGTGTGTTTTATGTTGTAGTTATGTTGAAGTTATATTTTGGAATACAGTTTGATTTCTTTAAAAAATTGTTGGATGTTATATGGATTAATGTCATGAAAAAATTCTTTCGTGTTGTTTGTTTGATTTTTTTTAGCGGCATATCAATCTCTTTAGTTAATGTAATGCCGGAATCTAAATATTCTGAACACATTTTTAGGGTTTCAACTGCAGATAAAATGCATTGTTGGTCATTTTGCTATAAAATATATTGTTGGTCATTTTGCTATAAAATGTATTGTTGGTCATTTTGCTATAAAATGTATTTTGGGTTATTCTACTATAAATATGTAGTACTAGTAAACATTATTTTGTATTTTTTACTATAAAAATGTATTTTATACTTTCATAGTGTTTTATTTTTGTTTGGGGGGGGTCACTATTGCCTATAACTGGGACCCCTAACCGGTGCTACCACACCGGGTCAAGGTAGTCTTGGGAACAACTGCAGAACAACAGGTGGTTACATGCTTCTCAAAACCTCCAGTCTCCTGTTCAGAGGCCTTGCTGCCGGATGAAGTTTATCGTCATACCCAGGACTAGTTACAGAATTTATGGGCAACGATGACAGCCGGACGGTTTTATTTCGCTTCATATTTCGTGACCTTTGTAATTGTATTTGATTTAGGTATTACTAGCAGCCATACCCAGTTGGTCGATCAGAAAAAGTGTTCAATTAGAATGGAGCAAAAACAGCATCATGATCAGATTTAACGGAGTCTATTTTCTTCAATTACTTTAAAGTACTTTCATTAAAAACATTTTGAATTAATGTAGTTACTGATATAACAGAAGTAGTCTGTATTTGTTCAATCGAAGTTAGCCGACGACATGAAGGAGTAAAACAGGCAACATGAAGACCCACTTCAGACCACAATTATTTTGGAGTTTTTGAAATTCAATTTATCAGTGTGCTACCAGTGATGTAAAAGAGGATACATTTATAAAGCAATTGTTAAGTTTGATGAAAATTGGTTGAAAGATCAACGAAAAATAAAGAAACCAGTAAAAGTCGACATTTCTCTTTATTTATGCGGATTTTTACTATATGGGTGGGCTCAATTATTAGTTAAATGACTGTTAAAAAATCAACTTTTTGTTGGCTACAATTGAGTGCAGTTTATATTCGATTCCTTAAAAATTGAGGGAATTTTTAGTTTAATATTTGTGTTGAAATCAATTTTTCGTTTTGCGTGGTTTTTCGCTAAACGCAGTGGTGTAGAAATAAAAATGAGGTATTGCTGAGCTCATCATGATGTAAGTAACATACATACAGAGTCTGAACGAAATCGGAGGAAAAAAGTTGAATTTATTGATTTTTGATCGGCTTTATCGATTATTTATTTATAAAAAATTATCGATTTTTTTACGCTAAGAATGTTCAATGTATCTGCGAAGTTTGAGCAAAATTGGTTGTATGGATCTCGAGTGAAAAGGTATCACACAGACAGACAGACAGACAGACAGACACACACACACACACACACACACATCCTCTGTTTTATATATATATAGATTACAACCTTTGAGTTACGCTATACTGTTGTGTGAGGTTTGCGTTTCGTGTTAATGTTTGTCTCCTCACGATACACGGTCTTTTAAATGGGGTGTTCCAATGGTGAACTATACAGAGATTTAGTTACTTTAGTTATACAGGACGTGCACCTGTCCTTATCCCTTATAGTGCAATGGAGAGGTGCTGCCCGGAAGACTGGACTTTGCATACCAGGCTTCAGTTATTTTTTTTTGGCTCCCCAATACCAAGTTTCAAGTTTCTTCTATGTGCCTCGTCCCTTCAGGACATGGAAAATCATGTCTTTCCAAAACATCCTATTCTTAATAGATCCTCAGAAGTTCTTCTCCGCTATCCAAACTCATCATGTAAGTGGATCGTTGCCTTACCCTATCTCGCTTGCCCTGTGAGGGTTAAGCTTAGAAATCCTTCTTTCCTCATTATGTATCCAAAGATTTTGAGCGGTCTCTTTCTGCTTCTGAGCATGTGTTTTTTCTCTTGCTATTTTTGTAAAGAGTTCCCAGTTTCTTACTCGGTGAAGCTTAGAATACACCGATTGCATATCCTGCAGATGAATAAAACCCAACCAAAAGAAGAGTCAGTCTTCTGGGTGGATGCTAGTAGACTCTGGTACAAACCAATGTTTACCAATTGTCTCGTATATAGTCAGTTATGTGATATACGTGATATACGCTTAGGCGATCATGCATCTTCGATACATGACTGACGAGGCCCATTTTTTTTCCGCAGTAGGTTACCATTTCTTTCTGCGGTAGACTAGTTGCCTTCCAGGGCTATAAAACCCAGTCTGTCTTGCTATTTACCCATAACTGGGGTTGGGGGAGAAAAGGATGATTCATACCTTTGCCAAGGGTATTAGAACGTAAATGAATGTAATAGATTCGACTGGAATTCGAACTCGGCTCTCTGATTCCTCAATCAGTTATGTGCCATGCGTGATACACGTATGTTTCGATATATGACTGACTAGGCAGATTTTTTTCCCGCAGTGGGTTGCCATTACTTTCTGCGGCAGACCAGTTGCCATCTGATGCTATAGAACCCGGCCTGTCTTGCTATTTATCCATAGCTGGAGGGATAAGAAAAGGGTTCATACCTTTGCCAAGGGTATTAGAACGTAAGTGAATGTAATGGATTCGACTGGAATTCGAACTCGGCTCTCCGATTCCTCAATCCGAGCCGCTCTCCATTACTCCGCCGTGCCCCGTATATAGACCCAACCAATATTTACCTTCAGGGTTAATATTAGAACTCTTAATTCATTGTGATTTTTGTTTTCTGAGTATATATTTGATTTTAAATAACCTATGTTTGGCATGCTATAAAATCAATCAATCTCAGTCGGCTTGAGATCATTCAGGTTAAATTTGTTGAGTTCGATCCTCACAAGGGGGTTGACATGTCGTAAAACCAACCAACCTAACTCGGCGTGAGATAATTGTCCGTGAAGCTAGTTTTTGTTTACTAATAATACTTAGCATTGAGTTCGGTCCTCACTGGGTTTGCCATACAAAATTCGATATGAAATGACGCAGCAACGGTTGATATAGCGTTAGATGAATTCACTTAACGTAGCGTAAAAGAGCATGCTGAAAAGTTCTCAATCCGACCAACTTTCCAAAATCTAACCAAATGACCACACATCAGAAACGTTTTGTGAAGTACATCTGGGTCGGACTGAGATCTTTTCTAGTTCACTTCATATTTAGAAACAAACACACACACACACACATGTGAATATATTACTCTCTCGTTATTCGATCGAGCACTATAGAGAAAAGGTTCATTTCAAAATAGTAGGCGCAGCCGCTATTAAAACACCGCTCTTTAATAATGAATTGAGCCCTCTGACTGCTGGTGTTTGTATACATCTGTATATAGTACGTTAAAAATTTCCCTTTCCCTCTGCCATGCGCCGATAGCTTAGGGGTAGGATCTCTGACTGATGCCAAATCGGTTAGGTTTCGATCCCGGTTTGAAGTAATCGGATGTCTATCCATACTGATGAGCAGTGATACAGTGAAACAGGCTTGTATGTGAATGACTATATATATATATATTTAGGCAGCATGTCTTCATTCGAGCATGTTTAGCTGAATAATCTGCATATATTATGTCTACTTTTATTTTAATCACGGATCAATTTCTTAGTGCTTTTACAAAACTGATTTAGAAAGACGCCTTAGTTTTGGTTATTTCTTTTATTTTCCCAAGCAGTTTCAATCTCTTCCAAGATCATCTTCAGGAGTAAATTGCTAAGACAAAAATTAATGTAATTGATAGTCGTCATTTTTTGTAAATGCGCATGAAACGCGTTCTGTTATAGTCAATTTAAAATTTAACGTTAAGAATATGTAAGTGAGGTAACTTAATCTATATTTTTGTTATTAATGTTTCGAAAATATCCAGCCTTCAACATATATATATATATATATATATATATATATATATATATATATATATATATATTTTAAATCAATGCTTTCAAATTTCAATTCCGATAAAATGTCCATATCATGAAATATTTTTAATATTTGAGAATTATTTTTTTCTTTTTTCTCATTTTTCTTGTCTTTTTTTTTTCCATTCTCCTTTTTTCCTTTTCTCTCTTTTGCTTTTCTCCTTTTCTTTTTTGCTCTTTCTCCTTTCTTTCCTTTTCTCCTTTCTCTCTTTGCTCTTTCTCCTTTCTCTCTGTGCTCTTTCTCCTTTCTCTCTTTGCTCTTTCTCCTTTCTCTCTGTGCTCTTTCTCCTTTCTCTCTTTGCTCTTTCTCCTTTCTCTCCTTGCTCTTTCTCCTTTCTCCCTTTTTCCTTTCTCTCCTTGCTTTTTCTTTTTTCTCCTTTCTTCTTCTCTCTTTTTTTATTTTCTCCTTTTTCTTTTTTCTCATTTTCTCTTTTTTTTCCTTTTTCTCCTTTTCTCTTTTTTCCTTTCTCTCTTTTCTCTTTTTCTCCTTTTTCTTCTTTTTCTTTTTTTTCTCTTTTCATTTTTCTTTCTCTTCTCTTTTCTCCTTTCTCCTTTTTCTCTTTCTCTTTCTCCTTTCTCTCTCTCTTTCTCCTTTTCTCTCTTTGCTCTTTCTCCTTTCTCTCTTTGCTCTTTCTCCTTTCTCTCCTTGCACTTTCTCTTTTCTCTCTTTGCACTTTCTTCTTTCTCTCTTTGCATTTTCTCCTTTTTCTCTTTCTCTCTTTGCTTTTTCTCCTTTCTATCTTTGCTCTTTTTCCTTTCTCTCTTTACTCTTTCTCCTTTCTCTCTTCGCACATTCTCCTTTCTCTCTTTTCATTTTCTCCTTTCTCTCTTTGCTCTTTCTCCTTTCTCTCTGTGCTCTTTCTCCTTTCTCTTTTTCTCTCTTTGCCTTTTCTCCTTTCTCTCTTTGCTCTTTCTCTTTTCTAATATTTGCTCTTTCTCCTTTCTCTCTGTGTTCTTTCTCCTTTCTCTTTCTCTTTTCCTTTTCTTTCTCTTTTTCTCCTTTCTCTCTTGCTCTTTTTCCTTTTTCTCTTCTTTTGTTCTCCTTTCTCTTTTCATTTTCTCCTTTCTCTCTTTGCTCTTTCTCCTTTCTCACTTTGCTCTTTCTCCTTTCTCTCTTTCTCTCTTTGCCTTTTCTCCTTTTTCTCTGTGCTCTTTTTCCTTTCTCTCTTTGCACATTCTCCTTTCTCTCTTTGCCTTTTCTCCTTTCTGTTTTCGCCTTTTCTCCTTATTCTTTTTGCTCTTTCTCTTTTCTCTCTTTACTCTTTCTCTTTTCTCTCTTTACTCTTTCTCTTTTTTTATCTTTGCCCTTTCTCCTTTCTCTGTTTGCTCTTTTCTTTTTGTCAAACCAATGAGCATCTTATTCTTTTCTCGCAATCAAAACGCAGTAGCTCATTATATGTCAGATATTGGCTGGCCGAAACCTACGCGCTAACAAACGAATACGAAGAATGATAATATTAAATTCTTCATCGCAGAAATTCAGACAAAAATTATGCGGCTATTTTAACAAGTTAACTAAAATTACGAAACAAATTTTAACTCCTCACTCCATTGTAGAAAACAAATATTAGACAGACTTCACTTAAGGTTATTTCGCATTTATTTGTGGTTTTCGAGAAGATAACCTCGACATTAAATGAGGCACAACTTTGCATTGAACATCCAATCGTCATCTACTCGCATCTAATAAGCTTATGCTAAACTCATTTCTGGAGAAAAGCTAAAAGGTTTTACATTTCAATTATTCATTTCTAGCTCCGATATGTCTTGATCAGATTCTCAAGATTCGAAGCGAAAAAGCTCTTACATTACATAATAGCATGGTCTTCTCCTACAGAAATGCGAACAAAACGCAAGAAGAGATAGCCAGATGGTTGACTAGTTACGTCTTTTCTGCGATAAAATCTGTTTAGACAAATTATGCTGATGTAATTTAAGTGTCTAAAAATGTGCATTTTATTTTCACATCTTTTATCACTTTTAGTGGTTACTCATGTTTGAGTAGACGCTCCGTTTATTTATTAAACAGTATATTTATTTATATTCGTCTATCAGACTGAATATTCGAGAAATCTTATTAAAGGAAAATAGGTTAATTTGCAATGTAATACTCGCGTTCAGTTCGCATTAAAAATTTCCAAAATACTTACATTTATGCGTAATTGTACATGCTCCATTCGAATCTGGCTTGATAAATTTAATAAAATCTAACGTTTTGGAGTTATTGACAGTGAAATTTGGGATTCAATCGCGTCGTTGGCGGCAGCCATTACTCGCGTTGTTTGCATACATTCTCTGCGGAAAGTTAAACGCGGAAGACTACGGAAAGCTAAGCGCGGAACTGATCTTTCTTGTCTAAATTTGTCTCAATTAATGCACACTAAAACTATTTATAAAGACGCACAGTTTGCGCAATGATACCTATACTGATAGATATTCTGCAGCGAATGTATGCAAACAACGCCAGTAATGCCTGCCCCGACGTGAATTAATCCGAACTTTCTCTATCGATAACTCCAAAACGGCAGATTGTATCAAAATTATAAGCCAGATTCGACTGGAGCATGTACAATTAAACATAAATGTAAGTATTCTAGAAATTTATAATGCGAACTGAGAGCGGGTGTTACACTGCAAATTAACCCGTAAGTATGCTATCTCCGGCAATTCGAATCTGCGTCTCCCTGGGCAGAGGTGATCGTTGTTAGGTCTAACGTTCTCTAGGCCGACTCGGTTGCGAAGAGACACCGTTTAAAGCGATACAAATCTATCGGATGAATAAAAAAATATCCATTACTTCTTCAGAAATCGTTTTGTTTACGTTTGGATACGAAACTGAGCAGATGTTAAAAAATTTCATGACGAAAGAGATTTCGCTTAAAGACACTATTCAGCCTTGCCTAATAGATAAAATTTCTTCGTAGCTGAGTCGGTTAAGGGACGTCTGGAGACTCAATATAAGGAAATCCGATAGGGTTCAATCTTGCATCCCCTTTAGTAATGGTTACCACCGTCTGATAAGGCGTGCTTCAGACACACTTGGTCGCCGAGAGCGTCACAAAAAGGTAGATGGAACTTCTCTTTAGCCGAGCAGGCTAAAGCACGCCCGATTGGACGAAGGATTTTCCGACAAATATAGATGCAAGTTCGAACTGGCAGACGTCAACGCAAAAAATGGTATCCACAAAATACCAATCGGAATAAGAAGAAAGTCAGTGTTTATGAAAATAAGTTGCATTTCCAATATTTAATAGAATCTCCAGACAGGATTCTTTTTCTGTCAACGCCTGTTTTCAAACCCATGACTGTTTTGACCCATGGCATTGAAATCGCGATGCAATAGAACTGAAGGCATCAAGAAACATTTCGTTCGGTAATTGCGCGCATTCTCGTTCAATAACCACCCTCAGGGTGATGACCTTTTTCAAAACATATTTTAACAGAAACACAGCTATTAGCCATTAATGAAGCGAATCTCGTTTTCAAGATGCTTTCAACTACGTCCGCGCGTTTCCCTTATATAAAACCTGGACAGTAGAGACCAATAGAAAGTGAGAGTGATTTCACGCACGCACGGCTGACTGCCCGTCCGACCATAAGGCTTCGTAAACGACTTCCAGTAAACACAGTATATCAACGTGGCAAGCACAAAGCGATAAGTCAGCCAGGGTTAAGCATACTTCTTTTTCACGCTCTAACTTCACGGCTACTACACTGCACATACAACCCTCTATGGTTTACCACTTACCAGACACATTTTTACTACTTGTATATTAAAATAAATCTTTGCTCATTTACATAAACATGTATCCAAGTTCGTTTCTTATACTCCAACCAACATCCAACCTCGAGATCAACAAACATATGTCTGCAAATCTTTCGTTTTTGAGATATTAAGTTTAAAGGAAGTTTACGGTAGATGGTGTTGTGTTGCCATTAGACTAGTTTACATTTGTCATTCGTGTACATTTGTTGCGAGTCTGTCTTCAACGTTTAACGTGTGTAGTAGTGGATTAACAATGTTCAGTTTAACACTGACAGAATATTCATATCGTAAGAAGACAAAGATGATTTTTACGTACGTCCGCACGAATGACAATGGACGCGAGGCTGCACGGCTGTGTCATATTGCGTTTTCAGACAGAAGGCAGCTGAGTCATCCAATCCTTGATCCTGTTTATCCTCGCGTTGCTGAGACCGGGTCCGTGGCAAAGTTTGTAAAAGAGTTTTAGATTGTATCTTGGATTGTACATTTAACAACATCCACCGTAAACATAATAACCCAAAAATGAAGGATTCGCTGATATATGTTCTTATGGTCTTTTGTCCTTGTTTTGCTGTGAGGAACCCATCCCCAAAGTTTGGAAAAAGTATATTTGATACACCCTGTATATTTTTTCTAAAGAATTTATGGATTTTATATTTTTTTCCGACATATTTTGTTAGTTTAAGCGTTAGTTTTAGTGGATACCCGTATTCGAGGAGGCGCTAACTTTATCTAATAATGCAATATTCCGTTCTGATCGTGTGCAAAGAGGGAAAAGGACACTACTTGGTTTCAGTGACATAATAAAATGAAAGCGTGCTTTTATCAATTTGGTCACGGGAGACCGTTACGCTAAAGCAAGACTCGGTTACCAACTGCACATTTGGTAGCTGGGCCAGACGGAACTGTAACGGAAATGCTGACAGCCTTAGATGAATTCGGCATAGACAAGAACACCGAAATAATAAATGAAATCTACAACGGCGGGGATATATCGGAAGACCTCAGCAGATCTATCTTCATAGGAATGCCTAAGAAACCAAGCGCAAACGAATGCGAACTCTACTGAACAATAAGCATAATGAGCCACGTGAAAAAACTCATCATCCATATTTGTGTAGAGTCATGATCCCCAACGTCCTGAAGGGATACGATAAGAAGAAGAAGAAGAAGAAGAATGAAGTCCCAATGTGTTGTAGAGTAGTTTTCACAGTGGAGGCTTGTATTTCACTAAGTCGGTCCTAAATTAGGTTCGACGTACAAAACGTTAGGAACTTGAAAATAATAGTTAATGACACAGCAATCTAGTTGTGGTGGTTGATACTTTAATGTCCGGCATCAACTGACTCATCAACTCACTCAGCCCACTGGCGACTGCTACTACTACTACTACTACTTATTATCTGTGTGAGAGTCTATTTACAATAGAATAGGTATGTTCTAGTATAACACATATACTGATGAACAGAGCGAGCAGCAGAATCACCCCAGAGATAGGACAAGAACAGTGCGGGTTCGTTAAAGACACCGGAACAAGGAACGCGATATTCATGCTCAGAATGTTATCAGAAAGAGTGATCCAGATGTAGAAGGACGTGTACCTATGTTTCATAGACTATGCAAAGGCCTTCGACAAAGTACACCACAAGAATATGCCGGAACTGCTAAGCAACCTTGATATATTCGGGAAAAATATCAGAATAATTTAGAACTTATACTAGCAGCATGCATGCGCATAGGGAACGAGTTCAGTGAATATACAAAAATAGAAAGGGGCGTAAAGCAAGGTTGCGTTTTTTCAGCGGACCTGTTCAACTTATACAGCGCGGCAATTCTGAGAGAATTGAAAACTCTACCAGGATTTAGCATTGGCGGCCACAATCTTAACAATATGAGATAAGCAGACGACACGGTATTGATAGCAGACACGAAAATGAAATTACAAAATCTCTCCGATTATAATTTTTGAAGGCTTTATTCGAGTGGATATTGACGGTAAAGTGGTCGGGGGTGATAAACATGCTAGTGACGTGGAGGAAAGCGATGATGACCATTAGCGGCTACTATCATCCATGCCTGAGTAATTTTACGGAAGCTACTGACGATCATCGATATACCTCATAGCCTTTCTGAAGGTGAATTATTTTGTCTATTTATATACGACGAAATAATAACTTTATTTGTCAACGAGACAAATAAATATGAGTCAAGTGAAAGAAAGAGCAAGCAAATGCCAGTGTCTTCTCGTATGTAAACACGAGGAAACATGTCGCCTTTTTTTAACCAAATGAAAGCCTTTTAGCGATTTTACTTCTTATTGCACCCCCAAAACTCCACAAGGAGTAATACAATTTAAAGTACGTTGAATTATTTATGTATTTTTTAAAATATATTTGTTTTTTTATTTCGCATTTGCATGTCTTAATTAGTTTTTTTTTCTTTTACGAATTGGTCAAACCCAAACTCAAACAAAAACATTGTTTTCAATCGTTATGGATCTACCGACTAAATAGAATTTTATTATAAACAATTGTCTTGTAAATGCAATTTTTAAAGCATTTTGAATGTAAAAATAAAGAAAAAAGTGTGCAAGACAATAAGAAGCACTACCTGCCAAAAAAAGTGAAGTTTTGTTGAAATCGGTGGAAAAATGTAGGAAATCCGACCCCATATATAAATGAACACACACACACACACACACACAAACAAACAAACAAACAAAAAAACAACCTGGGTTTTATAATAAGTATAACTCGATATGAGTTGTCCCCTTTTCATTCTCATGATAGCGATGTCTCTTAGTCGTGTTTTCAAATTGATTTCGTGCAAAAACAATTGTGTTTTTCCAATTTTGGGCGCTGTCAGAACAACTGCAAGGTAATTTTACGTAGTCCTGTGAAGTTTTGTTGAAATCGGTTGAAAAATGTAGGAAATCCGATCCAATATATAAACGTACACACACACACACACACACACACACACACACACACACACACACACACACACACACACACACACGAAAAAAAAAAATCTGCGTTTTATAATAAGTATGATTACATCAAAATATTACTCGTTCATTCTTTTATTAGTGGACAAAATTTAAAATCTATACGCACAATACAAAGAAAGTTATAACAATTTTAAAACAGTAGGTGTTCATGTTTTTTGTACCCTCAAAAAAATGCAGTGGAAGGGGAGACAACTCTAGAAAAAAAATTAGTGTCGTAAAGATGATGTGACCAGCCATGGAAACGTTGCGAATGAATGATCAGTTTGTGTTCTTCCTTGGTGCACACGGCTGGCGAAGCGTCCATGTTTACACTGTAGCTGAAGCAAGAAAACTGGTGCGATCAAGCTCAAACTTCTATCATGTGACCACAATAGTACCGACTACAAGTACGCATGAGCAGATGCCAATGTAAAAAAAACTGAAGATATGCTATGGCGAAAGTGCGGATAATTTTTACACTCATATAATGGTCAATCTTGGGGGGTATCAATATACATGATTATTTGGCTAACGAAACAGAGATCTGAGAAAATTCTTGCTTTTAGAATGCTAAAGTGTTTACATTTGCCGAGTTCAGATTTCAGAATAACACAACTGATGTTATTATTTTCGTTTAAATCAATATTTACCGCCAACAGAAGAAAACCTTACGCCTCATCAACGTCAGTGTTAATTGATGTAAAAAACAGGCGAGTTCACTAAATAGAGACATCATGTAAGCAAACATTCGAATGGTAACAACAATGAAAATAGCAACACGGATCTCATTACCAATCTCCACAGCCGAATATGATAAACAAAGTCCGTGTAGCGCGCACGAATACATATACATATGATACAAAGACAATAATTTAGGATATTGGATATTTTTTTTGATGATATCACTATTGATTATTAATCAGTTAAGTCCAAACACGTTAACAGGACAATTTCAGTCACTTCACCATGCCTCGTACTCCAGGAGCACAGATATTTCTTTTGTCATTTTTTGTCTCTCTCTCTCTCTCTTTTATATATATATAATTTTCTCCATCAAGACATTCATTTCTGTAGTTTACTGCTACCAGCAAGCAGAAATATTTCTTCTCTAGATGATGGCCATTTTGGCCGAAACTAGTCGAGGAATCTAAATGAAATAATAATAAAAAAAAACGAAAAATATTAATCTACAACCCAGTGTGTCTGAAGATTTTAATTTTTAATACTTTTTATTGTTCAATATATATATATATATATATATATATATATATATATATATATATATATATGTCGTGCGAAGCTATAGTTGCACATAAAAACGTAGGTACGCGTAT